CCCCAAAACCCCAAAACCCCAAAACCCCAAAACCCCAAATACATAATCTGCCATTGAAACAAGCTAGAGTTCAAATTTTCAGACTAAATCTAAATTATTCACCCTGAATATTCCATAATCTTCCCCTCCTATCTCTTTTAGAGGGCCAGAATGTGAGATAACTTGAGGTCATCCACCAGCTCTTTGAGTGTCTCCTTGTCATCAATCAGTGCACCAATAAAAACACGCTCCAAGGAAGTTCTAAGAGAACATTCAGAAATAGCTCTTATCAAGGAGTAAGCTTTCTCAGGGCTCTCTCTATTCCTTGGTCATTCTTGAACTATTATTTCAAAATGAAAACTCTTTAAGAGTAAACTTGGTGTGAATAGGAAACTTCACATTCTCAGTGTCAACTCGGCAATTAGTGAATGCAAGTGTCTATAGGGTCATCTCATAAATACCTGGAGATTGTAAACACAGATAAGTCTCTTGAATGACTTTTGAGAGACTTCGAAAGCACTCAGAGTTATTGAGGATGAACCATTTCCTATACTATTGCAAAAGGTTTGCATATAAAAGTGCCCATCACTATATACCTGTGCCTCTCAAAGTAGTCCAATAAGTCGAACTCTCCTACTAAGTAATCCGGAAGAATGTGGCTTAGAGCTGCTTCTTGGGCTAGAAGCTATTGGTCGTAGCTGGACTCCATTTTTAGATGATGTTAAGGGAGGGACAGTTTGGGGTAGGGGGAGGGGAGATTTTAGGGGAGAGGGGTGAGTCTGTCAAGAGGGGTGTGGGTGGGTTCTTTGTTAGTGCTGGTGCTATTGTATTAGGGGTACTGTAAGAGATTTTGTTGTATCAATCAAATTTTAGATAAAAATTTCGGGTTTTTAAGTATTAAAATGTAGCTTATCTTCCATTATCTGCAAAATCTCTAACCCAACCTCACTTGCAGGTTTAGCCTTGCATTCTTTCTCTCTCAAATCTTTGCTGCAGGTGCTACTTTCTGAAACTCCTTCAGCTCAATTGTTTGGAGCCAAAATTGGTTTGGCTGAATTTTAGAGATTTTGAACGAAGGAAGTCAACTGGGTGGTCAAAGGAGGAGATGTGCATGCAATTGAGATTGACCGAGTGGAGATAGGAAGAATTATAAGAGAGGTTGTTTGGATTAATACATTTGTAGTGAAGGAAACAGTATTTTTCCTTATTAAAAGTGATGTACAAAAATTATCACAAAGCCTCTTTAACAATAAATCTTGTTTATTTCGTTTAAAATTTAACAAAACCTTAATCTTCTTATTTATATTTTTTTTATTACATTCTTTCTAGAATTTCTGTTTGAAGCCTAATATTTTTTCAATTATACCTCTGACTAGTAAAGCTTTATGCTGGCTCTGAATAGTTTGTTGATGCAAATTCAGTGCTATTCTTCAAATAAACCCAACCCGAAAGTATGAGAAGCATGTGCTAGGTCATCTAGGGGCTTTAGCTATTGCTGCCCTTCTTAGAATTTTAAACCTGTAAGGATTCACTGCCTTCTTTGAACTATGAATGAGTGGTTTAGGCAACCTCATGTTTGGATCTTTCAATCAAAGTGGCAAGTTGGGGTTTTGGGGTTTTGGGGTTTTGGGG